ACAAATCCGGATGTTTTTTCGGCTGCATTTTCGGATCAGTGACGTTCACCAAGTTAATCACAAATCCGGACATTTTTTCGGCCGTATTTTCGGGGCAATGACATTCAGTTAAATACAGATCCGGATGTTTTTTTGGCCGCATTTTCGGGTACTTGAAGTACTAAATTTCGGACATTGGTGCAGTCTATGTGGATCATTATATCTGGATGGAAGTAACTTAAAAAATTTCGGACTTCAGAGCATTCCGCGGGGGGTTGTCTGGTCTGTGTAAAAATTACATCCGAAACTTCGGACATTGTTGCACTAATACAAATCCAGATGTTTTTTCGGCCGCATTTTCGGGTTAAATACAGATCCGGATGTTTTTTTGGCCGCATTTTCGGGTACTTGAAGTACTAAATTTCGGACATTGGTGCAGTCTATGTGGATCATTATATCTGGATGGAAGTAACTTAAAAAATTTCGGACTTCAGAGCATTCCGCGGGGGGTTGTCTGGTCTGTGTAAAAATTACATCCGAAACTTCGGACATTGTTGCACTAATACAAATCCGGATGTCTTTTTCGGCCGCATTTTCGGATCAGTGATGTTCACCAAGTTAATCACAAATCCGGACATTTTTTCGGCTGCATTTTCAGGGCAATGACATTCAGCATGTTAAATACAAATCTGGATGTTTTTTCGGCCGCATTTTCGGAGCTGTGACATTGACCAAGTCAGCATAGAAGCTTCCACGGACATTTTTTCCTGCCACATTTTCGGGGTAATGACATTCAGCATGTTAAATACAAATCCGGATGTTTTTTTGACCGCATTTTCGGGTACTTGAAGTATAAATTTCAGACATTGGAGCATTCCATGGGGGTTGTCTGGCCCCTGTCAAAATTACATCCAAAATTTCGGACATTGGTGCAGTCTACGGGGATGATTATATCTGGATGGAAATAACTTAAAAAATTTCGGACTTCAGAGCAATCCATGGGGGGGCTGTCTGGTCTGTGTCAAAGTTACATCCGAAACTTCGGACATTGGTGCACTAATACAAATCCGGATGTCTTTCTGGCCACATTTTCGGAGCAGTGACGTTCACCAAGTTAATCACAAATCCGGACATTTTTTCGGCTGCATTTTCGGTGCAATGACATTCAGCATGTTAAATACGGATCTGGATGTTTTTTCGGCTGCATTTTCGGGTGCTTGAAGTTCTAAATTTCAGGCATTGAAGCATTCCACGGGGGTTGTCTGGCGCCTGTCAAAATTACATCTGAAATTTCGGACAGTGTTGTACTAATACAAATCCGGATGTTTTTTCGACCGCATTTTTGGAGCAGTGACATTTACCCAGTCAACTACAACTCTGGACATTTTTTCGGCCGCATTTTTGGGGCAATGACATTCAGCATCTTAAATACAAATCCGGATGTTTTTTTCGGCCGCATTTTCGGAGCAGTGACATTAACTAAGTTAATCACAAATCCGGACATTTTTTCGGCCGCATTTTTGGAGCACTGGTATTCTGCATACTAGTGACAAATCCGGACCTTTCTTCAGCCGCATATTTGGGGCAGTGACATCCAACATGGCAACCACAAATCCGGACATTTTTTCAGTCGCATTTTCGGAGCACTTGCAGTCAGCATGTCAATGCTTCGGGTGATCTCTTGAACGCATGTGGCCCAACATTTGGCCATTCTGTAGATTATACTTTGGGTACCTATGGTACCATTGATTATGGCAATAACCACATCTGCAGAATATGCATTTGGCCACACATTAATACCATATGCTGTAAACATCCATTGGTCCCAGGTATGGATCCATAGTGTCCATGTGTATTGGGCCCATTGGGGTAGCCCTATGACTTATTGGGACAATTGTCAATTTCTATTGTTATGGTACTATAGCGACATCTATGTATACTTGTGGATCAACTCATAGTCTATCTTGTATCAAGTCGACGTGCTAGCGTTCACATTCTTGGGAGAAGGCTTCAAATGCGAGGTCTACCTCGATCGTACACAATTGGGAATAGAGGGCTAACATGTCCCCTGGGTCAGCCAAAGGTGAGCGAGCAGACAGCGAACAGCCCATGTACACGTGTTTAGACCCATAAAAGCCGCATCCGAAACGGTCTCCTCGTATCCCCAAACTGCCGTCAAAGCAGTTGACAACCGGCTCAAATTGTCAAACTCCCACCAATGGGCTCGCCTAAACTCTTTCGTTTCGGTTCTACAGAAAACATAAGAAAATCGGAGGAGGAAGGGCAAACAGGTTCATGACGTACGGTTGGCAACTTGGCAATAAAACCCAGAAGATACCGCCGCCTAAACGCTTGACACCGGAAATAGAAGTTAAAACTGGCAGGTGGGAGCGTTTCGAATGCTCAGAATTCGAAGAATCATAGTTGATTCCACCATGGCTACCATATGTGATCTTTGTTACTCGAGTCTTGACGTGGTGGTCGATGTAAGTAGTAGGAGAGCGCACCATCAGCTACAGCTTTGTTACTAAATCTCCTTCAGCTGTGATAAAATGCCTCTTAATGAAAACTAGCTGATACCCGTGCGTTCGCACGGGTCCAATTCATTCCCAATAATACATTTACATCGCGAGACAGGATTATACTTAAAACGGAGAGCATGATGTACATTAGAAAAATGGCTTAAGGATCAAAATCAAGGTTGGGGAGAAGGCGACGACAGGCTGCTTGCATCTGATCCGCATGCCTTCTTCAACGGGTTGGGAGTGGCCTGACTGAAATCTAACTTAAGCCCTTTGCGCTTCAAAGGAGTTGCTGTAGCTTTGAAGTTACGTTAAAATTAGTGAAAATACAGACAGAAAGAAAAGACAGGCATACCGGTGTCTGCAAATTCAACAGGAGTAGCTATAGGCACACCTGTCTTTGCTAAGATATTTATTATTGACCTGCTCAACCTCAACCTCAAAACATTGGATCTTCCCATCATCTTCCCAAAGAACATATGAGATAAACCCCAAAACGGAGACAGTATGTCCAACTTTCAGCTTCGGCATTGTTGGCCATCAAGAAGATGGTTCGATGATGCAACGGAGGGGGAGTGATGATTTCTTGGAGCCAGGTTTCAAGTTCTTGTTATAGCTCTTGTAGGTGTTACGCTTACTAGGTATTCCTCATTGAAGAGCATACAAATTTGGAGTTCAGCGCCAGCATTTTGACTTGCTCATAGCTCAATTTCACACTGGTCATGTTATGGAATGTACGGTTTGTGATTCGTGTATCATAGAATAACGGGGACATGCGTGCAGTAATGAATCGGCTTTGTAGAGTTAAAGGTGCAGAAAAGAATATGGGGGGGTAGGTCTCAGGCTTTAGGCAATGAAATTTGATCCCGGGCGGGGGTGTCCATGTAGTGATGAGGTGGGGAATTGGGGGAGGCATGTGCGAAGCATCTAGTCGGTGTCGTTTGACTCCGAGGGTTTCGACTTCTTCGATTTCCGCTTCCCTCCCTGCTCTCCTGTGGATGCCTCCTTTTCTTTTCCTTTTCCTTTTCCATTTCCTCTCCCTTGCGGCTCCTTGTCCTTTTTCTTCGACACTGGGGCTTTCGAAGACGATGGGTTGAGTACCATCTTGCATCTCTGCATCAGTGGTGGCAGTAGTGAGAGTGGCCTGTTTAGCAGCCTTCTCTTCACGTTCTGCACGGACGAGCACGGCAATGTCAAAGCGTATACCGTTGAGCTCAGCCCCCATTGCACTCACTACCGCATTGATATATGCATTCCAAATATTATCGTCTGCGTATCCCGCATCTTTTATGATTTGGGAGGCATATGATTGGAGGTCTACCGAAAGGCAGGCTCCCTTGGACTCAGCGTCAATCAGAGTACGGCTTGCCTCAACGTTCTTTTCATGACAAGCACGAACGAAGTCTACAGCCGCCGACTTCATCACTTTTAACGCGCTCATATATTGCTCTTGGGCCCCCTTGGTTAGTTCCTCTGCTTCCGCAGAGATATCCTTCGGGAAGAGGAACATGGGGCCCTTGAGCGTGTTGGAGATCGCGACAGGGACAGAGTCTCCATTGGATTCCACTGTGAAGCGGTCCCGCGCAGCGAGAATCCTGTGGTGCTGTTTCAGTGCAGACCGATACCCAGTGAGGGCATTATGGTAGAGTCTGGCGAAAACAGCGAGGACAGCAGGCGGGGAGGTGTTTGCAGCCGGTACATTCTGCAGAAAGAATGCCCAGGCCGGCGGTGCCTCGAACGAACTTGAGTTCACCACCGCCTGTCCTTTGTGGGGTACAGGTGCGGATGCAGAGAGAAGAGGAGCACTCACCACCAATCCTCCAGCTGTATCCGTACGCTTTCGTTTCTTCAGGCCTTGCACAGCGGGCATAGTAGTCGACATCGTGGGTTGACAGTGCGCGTTGTGAAGTTAGGGTCTAGGGTTCGTTGACAGTGCAGAAGGGCTCGAGTTGCGAGGATTCCAGTAGCAAAGACAGGTGGAACGGTACCCAGAGAAGCAAAGAGAGACTATTGTAGGAGTTTGGCCAAGGCGAGCAAGCAAGAGTGGAGATCCTGATGGCTTGGAGGTTGGTGTTGTCGCGTGAGGTGCAGAATGAGGTTTTAGGCAAAACACTGGCGAAATGCGAGGTTTCGGAGCAAACTATGTGTGACAGACGAGCGAGGAGGTGAGGAGCAAAGCTCCGAGCTGACGAGCAAGGCGTTCTAGAGACTTTGGACGATTATGGCCACGACGTAGACCAACGTTTCATCTGTTAAAGAGACTTGGCATCAAGCGGCGGGGTGGTCTTTTACCACCAAGAAGAATATTACGTAACTATCCCAGAATCACGGGATCACGTGTGTGCGCCCTCAGAGTTGCGGAATCCGCGATGGAACTCGACGCGTTTGGTTCACTCTCGAGGCCCTTTTGATTTCTAACCCCTCAATGGTAGAGTACTAGATTGTCTACCATTGCTTGTAGGTTGTTAGAGTGATAGGAAACTGAAATTTATCTTCATTCAATTTATTCTTTGGGTGACTCTGCTGCAGGCAGCTGAAAGGTGATTTAAAAATCACGTATCACCGGTATCAAATGCATAGAATGAAGTGGAATAAAATTTCCGTCTCTCAGAAGGGAATGACTGATGGTGAAACCGGATTTTTATTATCAAAAATCAAATTCTTTTACACCTACTCTCGAACCAGCTGCCGGTGGTCCCGTGCTAGAGTTGTACTGCCGAATCGTAATATTCTTGTTTGCGTACTTGAGAACCGCACCACGATTATGGTACACATCAAGATAGTTAGGAGCGGAGAAGATGGTGATGACTGAGGGGAAGTTTTTGTTGGGAGTTTCGCGGTGCATGGTATATCTTTATCCGTTCCAGAGGTATATCAATGACAAGCAGCGCTCATGAAGGGGAAGAGACAAGTACCCAGCATCCTGAGCTTCGTGTCCCCGAATCACGGTGAGGAGATTGTTTCGCTCGAGGAAAGCACACACTACTTCATAGCTGTTGGGAATTAAGTTGAGCAGGCAAACACTGACCAGAGGATGAAGAGGCTGACGTGAAGAAGAATGAGCATCCGCGTGTTTGGTTATGCAGGAATGCCTGGCCGGGTGCAAGCCCTGGTCCATGAGCGGTCGGCTCGTGCTCATGACCGTAGTTTGACACAGGGTCCGACCAAAGCAAGTCACATAGCAAGCCATGGGAACCTGGCTCCTGGAAACGGTTGATCTAGATCGGCATGAGATCAAAAGTTCGAGAGCAGGGGCGGACAGGAAGCATACTGCATCTACATCGCTGAGATGCACAAGTTGTGGGGAGATGCCACCGTGGACACAGAAGAAACGGTTGTCAATCAATGCGGTGATCGGGAGGGCGCAAAATGAAACGATGCATGCTTCATAAACACGCTCTGAGTACTTATGAAGGCCTAGGAGAATGGTTGGCAGATGCTCAGTGATGGCGGAAACCACAAGGCAGTCATCGATGCTTACATTCTCGTTTAAAGGTAAAATATTCGGTGAGATGCCGGCATTCGTGGTTGCCGCGTAGAAGGATGATTCCTGTGGGATTCCATATTTTGAGAGCGTATAAATATAGCAGACACTAGGGATCATCAGATTCATTGGGAAGGGGAAGGGTGGACAATAGCCTTACCTCGATGCCAAAGTCTCCCCGATCCACATAGTCCCCCAGGAAAAGATAGGTATTATCCGCCATCGGTCCACCCACCTCAAATAATTTCATAAGGTCGTACTGTCATTCGTACATGAGACTTGATAGCCTGTAATCCGGAACATGACAACTCGTACATATTGTCCGTGGATATCTCCACAAACTACGGACACATATTGGTCAACTCCAACTATACCAGAGTCAGTACTCACCTGTTACAGGACTCCTGACATGCACCATGTTGGGCTCCTTGGACAAAATCTTGGTTGTTTGTTCCAAAATGTAGAGTGCGTGTTCCTCCTGCAATCGTCCCTCGCGAAAGAAGTGTTCCTTCAAGAAAGCATGATTGGGCTTCATCTCTCCATGATCGTTTTGAAGAAAGAACTCTGCATCCGTGGGTTTATTCACCGCCGGCGGAGGGACCTACAAGCCGTGGAAGCAAAGTTGGAGAAACGCGATCGATTGGTTAGCGCTATGATTACAATTTTTTTAAATGGGCCACATACACTCTTGACGGGTCTCTCATTGAAGTTTGGGGTATCCTCCGGAAAGCGCTGGTGTTGCGAAGGGTGTTGCTGATGGTGGTGTGTGCTCCCTCTTTCATTTGTCCTCGAAGGAGGCACCTGCGAATATCTGTCCCCCATCGAAGACGTTGGCGGTGGTATTCAAGGAGGCGAAGGTGATGCTTAGAAGATGGCAAGGGTGTGTATTCCCGCGCTGGTGCTGTAAATTGTCGTATCTGGGATCGGACTGCTCGCCAAGGGGAGAGGGCAACGACAGCCTCGTGTTTGGCGATGTTATCCCGTCCCTTGTTCCCTACAGCGCGTTAGGCGCCCGTTGTCATGGTCGTCCTCTTCATTGTCCAATAACGATGGCAAGTTAGAGCAAAAAGGTTCGGCGACGAAAGGTTCGCTGGCAAGCCTGTCTGGAATGTAAGCATCCAGTAAACGTCACAATTCCTAAATTTGATTGTCGTACCACTAGAAACCAGCGGTTCACTTAGGATTGAGGGGTCTTGTAGGCTCCAGAAGAACGATGCTCGCGAACAGCACAAAGAGCAGAACTGGGAAGAGATTATCAGTATATAGGTAGGAGATCGAGAAAAAATAGACAAGTGGGACTGAGTGTTAACGTTTCCCCTATTTTTTTTGGAACGTGCTGGTTCTTTACTACTCGCTCTTTATTAATATTCGTTACTGACCTGTTTTCCTACGTTTTTGCATACACCTCCAAATTCTCAGAGACGTCAGTCGAAAGGGGTACATATCAGCTGGTTTTCATTTTTGTTTGAAGGCACGACAACCGAATTCCAGAGAAGAGGATGCACAGCCTTGGAACACTGTGTATCTGATCGAGTAATTGTAAGTTACGATTCATTCCTTGTCAGGGTCCGCACCTTGCTTCCGACTTCCACCCACTCCAAATGCTCAACTACAACTCCCAAATGCAAACCCCGACGGCTACCCGCTCGAAAACACTCTGCATACGGATAGATGAGACTCCGTTATTTCAAGTTGACGGTCAGTCTTCTCCTGCCATGGTTGACATCACCTGCCCTAAACGTCCTTTTCATTGCAGCGACCTGGCTGGCGTCTTTAACGATGGCAATACGTTCTCAAGGACCTCCACAAGCCACGCTAGATCACGGCCGTCCACCTAATTCATGTCTTTTAGAAGTAAGAGTCGCCTGCTCGGGCCGGGGAACTGGGGAATGCTGTAGTCCTGCGTTTACCGCGGCCCCGAAACCGCGCTAGAAAATGTTTATGTAATCTTCGGACTCTGAAACCGCGTCGCGTCAATATTTCCTCGTCGCCCTGGACTCTCGACGCGTTTTTTGTCGCATGGCTTGTTCTATCCCCTCAAATTCAACGGTAATCTCTTCTAACCATTGCTTAATATGTATAACAATGCTTGGACCGTCCGGTCTTACCAGAAGAACTCTGCAATTCAAGTCCCAGCAAAAGCTGCTTACATTTCGCCATTCCAATCACAATCTACACCCGGTTCCACAAGTCCTGCAGCCATAAGCCATGCACGTCCTTCGTTGTTCGCTTGCGCAACCAATCTCGTCGGTAACTATGTCCAACAAGAGATACTAAGCTTACCATGAAGGACGATGACACTCAGCTCGGGTCGTGCATCGACTAATGGCCGACGCCCAGAGGATAGCGTTAGGTTGGTTACTTGGCAGACCTTGGGGAAACTCAACATTGCTGGACTTTGTGAGAAGTACAAGGTGCGCGCACGCGTCTCTTGGTATCTCACCGAGCCTATGGCTGCTCCGTGCAAAAATCCTGCTGTGATTACGAAGGAGCGCCGCCCCCATCCCATTGTACGTATTTTATCACAACTTGATGTTTAATTATACTTATCTCTTCAATTTAGGTTTAAGTTGGGGCTATTGGCTTTTTTATCCTGCGAAACCATTACGCATACTGTGCGAAACCATTCTTTGCGGCAAAGTCTCATATCGACGTCAAACGTGCTCATAACCGATTTCACCTTGAACGCGTCGCTGAGAAAAAGCGGACGACAATGACTGTTGAAACTTTTAGGGCTGATGTCGACTGGACCCATGTACACTCCGTTCAGTCATTGCATTCGGTTCGTGTTCTTGTCGACTACATCCCAGAGCTTATGTGCATGTCCAGAGATGTTTCAGCCAGATTTCGCTCCGCTCATTTTGCCAAGCATCGCATGCGTGAAGGTCAAAAAACTATGGCACAACCGTTGGGAACCCATGTGATGTTGCAGACGACGATTTGTAAGACTAACAAATTTGAATCCGATTGATTGTGTCTAGTTTTTGCTCGACATCTGTGGTATTCTGTTTTCCTTCTCACTTTCACCTGCAGACGATGCTTCAGCAACGAGAACACTCTGGCAGGTGCAGTACCGTGGGTGGGCCGTTGCTTTCTAAGCCTTTCTTGCACTTGCGCAACTCTGGGTTGAGGAGCTCATTTAGCGGGTGATGATGCTGGAAGACCATAAGGAGACAATGCGACAAGTTAATCCAGGACTTGTGGAACTGGGTGTAGCTTGTGATAGGAATGGAGAAATGTAAGGTGTTGCTGGGACTTGAATTACAGAGTTCCTCTTGTAAGACCGGACAGTTCGAGCATTGTTATCCATGGTAAATAATAGCTGGAAGAGATTACAGTTGAATTTGGGGCATTAGAACAAGTTGTGCGACAAAAAACGCGTCGAGAGTCCAGGCAATATTGACGCGACGCGGTTTCAAAGTCCGAAGATTACATAAACATTTTCTAGCATGGTTTTGGGGGCGTGGTAACAAACAGACTTCATATATCGTGAACCAAGGTACGACTTCACATATATCGAAGTCTGTCTACGAGAGACTAGGAATGCTGAGAAAGGACATTTAAACTTCAGTGAGTTAGTTCCTTCGTCGTGCTTCCTCCTGCCTTGGTTTTTGAATCCCCTTATCACCTTGCATCCATTTGACCTTTTCCGCCCAGCTGATCGCCTTCATCTGTTACTCAGGTTCTGATTCCACAATACCCAACCTGACTTCAGTGATCGCACCGCCTTTTGCGTCCTCCGCACAACTCGGCCACTTGCACCCCTTCATGCACCGGCCCGCGAAGGTGATATTGCCATAGTGGAATCCACCCAACTAAGCTGCCTGTATGCAGAGCTCGTGGATCCAGCATCACCTGTTCGCCAGCAACCACGACAAATCGTTCACCTAGAGCAATTGAGGTCGCTGCCGTCCGCCTGATCATAAGCGCAAGCTTGAGAAGCTGGAGAGCCGGAGAGCAGGGATAACCTTGCATCTATTTGGTCTTTCGCCTGGCTGACCGACCTCCTTCGTTACTCAGATTCTGGTTCCACAACACCGGTGCAAACCCCAGTTCCCTTAACTTCGGTGAGTGCATTTCTTTCCCGGTTACCATGACTGGCACAACCTGGCCACCCGCACCTTTCGTTCATCGGCTCACGAAGGAGATGTTATTAGGACGAACCAAACTTGTGGATTCAGCATCACCTCTTCGCCAATTGTTACAAGCAAACTTGTCACAGCAATCATCTGATCGGTTGCGCCCAGCCGTGTGGTTGTTCGGTCGTTCTCTTCCACCGAAGCTCAGAGCTGCTTGACAACCTCCTTGTCGACGGCCTTTTTTTTTTCAAGTCAAATTTAGAGTCTATTAGGGCGAGGCCCTATGTCAGACTTTACAACTTTTTGTAGACTACCTATGGCCCCTAATGCCATGTATTCCTGACCCCCTTGAGATTGCCCCATGCACTGGTGAGGGCACACCCACAGCGAACATTCCCCCCCCCAGCCCGGCACAAAAACGCCGTTTTGGGGCACATCCATATAGGTAAGCGGGGTAGTGTTTTGGCCTGTTAAGTACCCGATCGCGAAGCGACAGGCACAGTCGATGGGACGAGCATGATCAGGTGGAGACGTATGTCTCGGTGTTTGTGCGTAGCTGTCTTCCTGTGTTTCCGGTGTGAATCTTGTATCTGTTGAGAGAGGGAGTCTTCTGCTTGAGGTCCGCAGACTGAGAGGCGGGTGAGAGAGAGAGAGGGGGGGTGTTTTGGGCGAGCCCGCTGGCTGGGGCCAGCTATTCTGTTGAAACCTGTGCCGTGGTAGCTAGATTCCTGAAAACATGTGTTATCCGTTAATCTTCTTCATTTTCTAAGTGAGATACATCACCTAGTGTGTCTCCAAGCGTTGTCTTGAGCCTGGCCGTCCTCCCCACGAATTTGAGCAGCTCCTTGACCCTGTCCAAACTCGCCAGGATTCCTCGGAGATCCCTTGAGTGACAACCCAGCACTCTATCCATATCATATCGCTCTGCCGCGTATGTCTGACACTCAAATAAGAAATGCACCACCGTCTCCGTGATTTCCCGTCGCTCCCTACTCCAGCATGATGTGCAACGCTCGGTGGTCGACTTATTGATGTGATGGAGATAGCTGTTGAGCGGTATGTGGCCGGTGCGTATCTGTGTTAGTAAACTTGCCTGGGGCCTGGAAAGCCTGTCGCTGATTTTCCGGAACTTGTTGAAGGGGAAGTCCTTGTCGACGTGTTGAAACCTGGCATATCGTGGTGATTCCTTCCACGCGTTCTTCCATCTGACTTTTAGCTGCTCTGCAAACTCCTGCTTCACCGCCAACACGCTGTATGGCAAGTGCTTGCGAAGTATTGGGGGCAGTTCCTCCTGTGGGCTTGAGTCGCCCTGTGCTGCTTTCTTCGCCTCTTCATCTACCCTTTCATTCCCCTTCACCCCCATGTGAGCCGCCACCCACTTGAGCGCAAACTTGTCGGTACCTGCAGGACCTGGGATGTCAGCTCCATCACCCATAACCTCTGTAAGGCCCTGTCGACGGCCTACTCCATCTTTGGCAATGACTCAAGTTGAGCAAAGGTCAGAATCAATGCCTATAGACCTGGGCCTTGCCTTGACATCAGGAAAAACTAAAACTCACAATTATGCACAATTCAGCTGGTTAAACGTGTTGTGCACAATTGTTGGTAAATTCTTCTCAATTCTTCTCAATCGAAAATGGGGATGTCGATTGTGCACAATCATTCATAAATTCCCATCAATTCTTCTCAATTGAAAAATCAGAATTTAGATTGTTCACGCTTGTCCTGGAAAGTACATTTACTTATCTGTTGAAATATATATATCCTTAGTTGGAGCCTTGGAGGTGTATGAGTCTGTCAATTCAATCGATTCTATTACTAACATTTTGAGGTTCTATATAAATTAACTACAGAGACACAGAAACAGGGGAGTGTTGTCAATAGCGGTGGAGGACACGCAGCGTCTTAATCATATCAATGACGACGGATAGCAGCGCGCAGCGTGCTCCAATCTTGTTCAATTCTATACTGCGTCTCAACGCTCTGGCTGTAGGCTCGTGTCGACAGCGGAATACGCAGTGGGTTCCCAAGCCCCATTGACGACAATGGGTGTAAGCGTTGTCGATGGCTGCATCATCAGCGCTGTATCTGGAGCACCAACGGCAGTGAAGAAAGTGGCAGATGGACCGCGGAAACGGCAGCAGCAGAGGTGGACGTCGTGGGGAAGCATCACAACTGCGGGCAGGGCACGTTCGTAAAGATGGGGCAGCAAAGTGCACCCGCAATATTATAGGTAGTGGGGTGGTCAGCATTATGAGTTGGGCGCAATGGGTTGGGGTACTCATCTTCATTGCAGTCCTCACCATCGGCTCGCAATGGGTACTCCCTTTCTCGTCATGATGTTGCGTTGATACTGATACCGTTTCCACGGTGCTCGCAATGCTGGTAGTGCCCATTGATCTCGAGATTTGGTGGACACGTCCTATTCATGACGGTGTTTGTCAGGACGCGTGGGTGGTCATGGTTATGGAATGTATAGGGAGTGGTGGTTGCGGAACACAGTAGAAAAAATGTGCAAGTCAGTTCAAAGTCAGTTCAAGCTCCGATACACGTGACATTTTGTTGAAAAATCTACAACTTCGCTTTCTACTCCCCCCTCCCATCGCCATCAGAGTCACCACTCTTTGTGACTGCTGCCTTGCATCGTCAGCGCAACAACATCTAGGGCCATGTCAGCTTAACGAGCGTCGACGGCGCATGGAGAAGATGACGTGGCACGTCCGCGTCAATGCTTCCCTCCCAATGTGCCAAGTCGTCCACACAGCAATGACGCATACCGTCATTGCCATCCACAATAGCGCAGGTGAACACATCACATAGTAAGCCTTACATTCCCCCGTCTTTCTCCTCCGCTAATTGCTACAAACTGCCCAGCCGCCATCGTAATGCCCGCCAACCACCGCCACGTCACTGCGTGAGCACATCACGTCGTAAGCCATACAGTCCCCCGTCTTTCTACTTGCTCATTGCCACAAACTGTCCAGCAGCCATCGTAACGCCCGCCGACCACCGCCAAGTCACCGCCTTGCCTCTCTCATTCATGGGCGATGACGACGCGATATGAAGATGATGACAACGGCCATAACGTAATTAAAACTCTGGAAGTCGAGGTATGTATTCATCTGCCTTTCCCTCGTAACCCTGCCTGACACGACGAAAGCTAGGTGATCAAAAGGCACCTCCAGGTATGATCAACGACATCACCTTGCCCTACACGCTGTTCTCCAGCACTGCAGATGAGATGAAGGGGCTGGGAGATGGTGTCAGTGACGGTCGATCAAGGCCAAAGAGGAGTGGGATGCATTTGAGATGAGGGAATGGAGGAAGGGGGGTGAGGCAGTTATGAAGGAACTCGCTAGCATTTCGAATCAGAGATTCTTTCGGCTTTTGTTTCACGTACTTAGTCTATAATGTATAGTCAGTTGCCATGCAATACAATTCATCAACCTGAACTCTCGTTTGTTGTGTTTGATTGTGTGAAAAAGAGGATCTATTCAATGGTACAATATGCAAAATGAACGGCCAATTGCGCGCTAATTAAGCACAATTAAACGGTGCCCGTTTTATTTTACTCAATCTTGTCAATTCTCTTAAAAGTTTCAATCCCGTCATTTGTGCGTAATTTACGGTCAATTCTGTATAAATCATATAAATCATGGTTAATTCAGAGTCTGAGGATTTCCTGATGGACCTCTGGCGATTACTTGAAACTGCCTCTGCGTGGCTAAGAATTCTATTCCTTCTTCCCCCGTGTCACTACGTATGCACCACTCAAATCCCTAATCGTCGTATAAGCAACTATCTTATCCTATCGCTCTGTGACATTGGACGCAGCGTACATACTCCATAGACTCACAGTCGACGTAGAGCGGTTCTGGAAATGTCTGTAACACAACGTTGACCAAGTCCAATACTATTGCTATGCTTTGTGCCGATAGGCAGAAAGAGAGAGAGATGGCCCAAAAAGGTCGTGGGGGATGATAGTGAAGATCGTGAATGTATGCGCGAGTCGTTCACAGTCCAAAGTCTTTGCTGAAGTCGAAGAACACAACTTTATATGCATGATGAAAAAGTGTGCTTAGGGAGGCTTCATATGATGAGAGTGGGATTCGAACCCACGCCCCTGGGGACTAGACGTTGCTGAACAGGTCCCAAGTCTGGCGCCTTGGACGGCTCAACACGCGCTTCACAAATTCCTTTCTACTCCCATGCTACACATCCATCAAAAAAAACCCGTCTTCCAACCCAAATCCAAGCAACCGCCCACTCATCCTTAAACAACACCACCACCCCCCTCCCAAATCCTAAACCGCCTAACCCCCTGACCGCCCCACGGATCCTCCTCCTCCCAATGCGTAATCACAACAACCGCCTGTGCCTCTCCAACACCACCCTCAGTGGTCAAGTATCTCCGCACGGCACTAATCATACCCTCGTCCATCCCACTCCATACTTCGTCGAGAAGCACCAACGGAGGTCGGGATACCAACGCGCGCATGAGGAGCACGATACGCTGTTCGCCTGGTGTCAGTGCCGTGAATCGACGCACTGCGAATTCTCTTTCCGTCTCGGGTGTTCCTGACGTAGACCAGGCTCGTGGACCAAGTGCGGACAAGACGTCCCAGCATCGAGCGATGCGCCACTTCTCTATTTCACGCCGCCTCTGTTCCTTCTCCACGTCACTAAGCTCAAACTCCAGTTCCTCATCAGCCACACCTATCTCACCCACCCTCTCGCTCCCTCTAAGCGGGACAAAACCCCTCCAAAGCCCGTAACTACGGCTTCCCAGACCGTCATGCCTGGATGACGACGTGGGAAAGCGTCGAACAGTTCCGGGGAGACGACGCCAATCAATGTGCGGAGGTGTGCAGTCGGTGTACGTTTTCGTGAGTTGAGGTGGTGGGTTCGGTAGGGGTGAGTTGTGAAGGAGGGATTCGATGACGTGGCAGGAGATAGGGAGGGCAGGTGGAGGTGTGCTTGCGTGTACGATTGTGGGTGGTCGCCTGTTAAGAGGGAGAGCAGTGTTGTTTTGCCTGAGCCTGTAATGGAGGGGGTTAGTTAGGGTGGATGTGAAGATAAGAAGGAATGTGAATGTATGCGCGAAAAGGCGCGTAATAGATGGGTAGGGGGAGAATCAAGTATACGACGTGAAGTCGACTTTCTCAAACCGTAGTGTCTAACGCGTGAAGCCCATTTACAGTAAAGAACAACGGCAGCGAGCCATCCCAAAAACAAGACAGGGTTCATGAAATCAGGAGAAGGCATTGAAGAAAACCAAAGCTACGTCAGCGAACCAACAACCAGCAAATCAGAAAAATATGCAAGGGCAGGTTCCTCCCGCCAAATTCAAAGAGAAAATGGTGAAACATTCAAGCAAAGAACAAAATGGAAGGTACCCACCATTCGACCCTTGTAAATGCCACCTCTCGCCTTCACGAATCTGCCACGTAATATCCTTAAGAACCTATCAGTCGTCGCATCATCAGTACTTAAAATCAACTCGCGGAGAGAGTGGAAGCTCGGGGAAACGAAAGGGAACTCGCGAAATAGAAGAAGTTCTCCAAGAATGGTGAGGAAAGAAACGAATACGAAGGAAAGGAAATACAACGCGTGAAAAGGAACGATAGCACGCAAAAGAAAGGCAATAGCGCGAGAAAATGAAAAACTTCACGGGAAAGATAAAGGAAAAGAAAGAAAATGCGCAAAAGAAAACTTGCTCACAGTCCTATTCCCATACTTCACCCCAACACCCTTTAAATCAACCACCAACTCCCCCTCTTCCACTCTCTCCTTCGATTCGTCCCTCCCCTCCTTCCCCTTCTCCTCCGCCCTCTGAGTCCTCTGAAGACCACGCCACCTCTCCCTCGTCATTGGGATAACGCCCCCCTCCCCAACATCCAACACGTGCGTAACCCACCCCGGCAACTCTTCTTGTGCGCGCATGCCGATGATGATACGTGGAGAGCGGGAGGCGTGGAGGTCTGCTAGGAGGGCGAGGAGGTGTGTGCGTGAGGTTGGGTCTAGGCCGGCTGGACAAAGGAAGGGGGAGTTAGTATCAGAAAAGGAGGGAGGCGGAGAGAACAAGAGTAAAAGCGTGGAAAGGAGGAGGGAGGAAGAAGTAAGGAAGAGATGAAGGGAGGGAAGGAAGAGAGAGGGTGAGGGCAGGGAGGATATGGAGGGAGGAGAGGCGAGCGGGAGAAGAGGGAAACGCGAGAAAGAAACAAAGAGAGGGAAAGGCACATAGGTGAAGGAAGTGGGAGGTGAAGTGAAGGGAAAGGAGGAAAGCAGGGGAAATAAGAGGGAAGGAAGGACGGCATTCGTTTAGAATCACTTACTCAACGGCTCATCCAACAAAAGCACCTCCGGAGTCTTCATAACAGCCCTCGCTATCCTCGCTCTCCTCATCTGTCCATTACTCAGCGCGATCAGCGGTAAATCCAATAAATCCCTCAATCCCAACTTATCCACCAATTCTTCAACCTTCCCTCCCTCCCCATGAAGAGTATCCCGTAACGTCCGCCCATCTTCCTCCCTAACAGCACCATAACGGGCCGTATAATCATAAAAAACCCCACCTGCCCCCCTTGTACCCCCCGTATTTCGAAACGCGACGAACCCGAGACGACGTCCATCGAATGGGTCGAGTCCGTTCAGGAAGGGGTATAGGCCTGGAGAGGGGGGCAGTGGTGATATGCGGTTGTTTCCTAGGAGTGTCTTTTAATTCGCTTAGTTGGTTATTTACATAGCTTGTGGACAGGAGAGAGGAATACCTGGAATAATATGCTTTTCCCTCTTCCACCCCTCGAACGCGACACGACGGCCCATGCTTCTCCTTCGTCTACGGTCCAATCTATGGAATTGAGGGCGGGAGGTGTGGATTGGGAGGCGCCGAAGGGGTATATGTTCGCTTTTGGTATGTGGATTATTGGTGGGTTTGACGAAGAGGACGAGGAGGAAGAGTAGGATCGGAAGCGGAGTTGAAAGGGCAAGGTGCGGAGGAAGACGAGGCGAGGTGGCATTGACCTGGAATGCGATTTACATATCGCTAGTAGATCGCCAGTGCCCGTCGTCGCACGAGTCGGAGTCAGGTTCGGGCATCCAAGCTATCTAAGTCCGATTACGCCAATGTTCCTCACCCGGAATAATACCCTCAGAGAACGTGGTACGCGACTAAAACCTCCGATCTGGCGTGATATCGTTATGCCTCCAGGCGCTGTCATTTCTCACAGCCTCCGGACTGTGCGGTCGACAACCTTTCCTCTGTACACCCACCCAGTCATGGCACCTAAACCGACGGGGGATCGTAAACGTGATAAGTTGACGAGATTCTTTCATTTGCCAGTGCGACCTAGGACCCCCCAACCCGCCGAGTCTTCCATCGGCATAACAGTGACACAGCCTCCGACCACCGCCCTACCACTACCACAGTTGGCAGGCAACATAGAACCCCCGGTGCTGAATCCTCACGATACAGAACTGACATCTACGAAGCTGGAGAAAGTAAAGTTCGCGAAGGGCAAATCTTTTAAGAGAGATATGGCCATTCTCTCTATCGCGTACACCCTTCAAGAAAGTCCCGAACTCAAGAGGCTCATCCAGCTTATCGTTGTCATCCGCGATAAGGACTCGGAAGGCCAAGTAATGTCTGCAATGTATCATGCATATCGATCTCTGACATTCTTATCCTCCAGCTTACCGAAATTCTCGAAACCTGTGCTCGGTTCATTGTTCAACTCGCATCTGCTACTGATGCCCAGCGTGCAGAAGCCACACGGGCAATAACGGCCTTCAACGAGTAAGAATTCAGCATTGATCTTCTATAGACTTGATCGTCCTGAATGTATCGATCCGTCGTTTAGGACAGTTGCAAAGCTCAAGACTATCCAACATGGCGACGGAAAATCCTTGGATGGATTGATGGTCATGATAAACGAAGATATCGATAGGATCAAGGTCAGTTTCGACATTCCGGTTTGTCCCACCCGATCTCACGTCATTCACACATCGTTCAGCCTTCATTCGTGAGCGATGGCGAACTTGGAACTTCGGAGAGATTATCCAAAGTCCTCGATATAACTATCGGGACAACCATAACCATCCTCACCCTCGTAGAAGAAGCCAGCTCTTTGATACCAGTACCATGGGTCCAACCATTAATCGGAAAAGTCGTTAGTATGCTGCAGGCCGTCTCGGTACGTCCTTGAAATTCCTTTCAATTGCCGTAATTCTCATTGTCATCAGCAAACTCGCTCGAATTACAACGAAATGAATCAATTAGCAGCTACAGCTGGAATATTTGTTGTCTCTTGCGCCGTTATTTGTTCTGAGAGTACGGTGGGGCCATCAGAGAAACTCAAACGAGCCTTGAACGAATTTACAAAGTGGGTAACAGCAGTCGTATCCGCAAATTATATCGTATTGACCCGAAATTTACAAAGGACACTCGGAAGCATAGCTGGAGAATGTGATGAACTTAGCCGTCGCAATTTGCTTTCACGGTACTTGCAACAAAGCGCTCACATGGGTGACCTTCAAGCTATCAGAGTAAGGCTGAACGACGAAATCCAATTGTTTCAGGTTCGTGACGTCCTCGTATGCGAAAGTCTTTTACGAACTTGCAATTAGACCGAAAATTCGGTCAATATAAAGCTGGACACCGAGGAACTTAATCGGAAAATGGGTGAGCGCGAGATTCCTGACCGAGTGGTGAACTGAACTGACATAATGCAGATTTCGCGTCACTGAGCGGCCTGCCAAGCCATCCAAGCTATACACGCAACGATTATCTTGAGAAGAGTCGAGATGACGTTATACGTGATGTTTCCGACTGGATAGCTAACGCCCCAGAGTCTGTCCTGTGGGTACATGGTGCTGCTGGCCTAGGTAAATCGACTGTCGCTCAGGAACTGGTCCACCTTCTCAAATCGGAGGACCGCCTTGCTGGGGCTGTATTTCTCACCAACCTGACTACAGAGTCCCCTGAGCGGGTCGTTCAGATGATCTCCAGGCAGCTCGGCGCGATGTATCCGCGAGCCATCATTAGCATTGCTGACGCTGCAAGGACACTCAATGGCCCGCATGACAGGCTCAAGGATTATTTCACGGCATATATTCTCAACCCAATCCATGCACTAAAGTATCCTTATCAGCTTGTTGTTGTTGTTGATGGTCTGGATGAATGGCGCAATTATGAGTCATTCCTGGCGGAACTTGTGCATATTCCATCGCCCTCCCCTTTGAAATTTGTCTTGACAAGTCGCTTCAATTACTCCATCGAACGGGCAGTTGATAAAATGCCAACTCGCAAATACCCTCTTCCACCGGCCTCACAGACAGTTATTGCACGTTACTTCCATCAGCACTTCTTGTCAGGCGACGTTGATTGGAAAGGGCGCAAGCCCGACGATGTCAAAATCCATCAATTGGCGGCTCGTGCAGATGGTCTTCTTATTTGGGCGGCAACTGCACGATTATTGGTAACGAATAAATTTGACACTCGATATCCGCACGAAATACTCGACCAACTCCTGTCATCTGAAGAGAAGGTGGTCAATCGGAAAGATGGTCCAGAAGATGGGCAGCTTGAGCGCCTATATCACAGTGCTATTTTAACCCTTTTCCCACCACGCATTCGAGGGATACTCAGAAACTTCCTTGCGGCAACCATAGTTCTTCAGGAAGCCCTACCGATTGGTGATTTTGCACATCTCTCAGGCATACCTGGGCCAGCTACTGAGGAGATTCACCATCGGCTGGCAGCCTTGCAGACGCAGGGCGATCCCAAAACTAATCTCATATCACCAGCCTCACAAAGATTCCATGCATCATTTATTGAATTCATCACCACAGAGACTGTTGACCAAACATTTCAAGCTATTAGTGCTACAGAAGCAAACTGTATGCTGGCGAAGAGATGCATCGAGATTGTGTTTGACGAGTTACTCCTGTCTTTTCGGGGAAAGACTTGCACTTATGCAGAGCTTCGTGGTGTAGAACCATACGCTGTCAAATTTTGGCCTCTTCACTTTTCAAGTGGAACCCTGAGTGGTACGGCGGGTATGGATCTGATATCGGAGGAAGCGATGCAGCATTGGGCTACACTGTTCCTACCTTGTATCGCAGCCAGATTCCAGGGCGGCCGTAATTCTCTTGAAGGCATCCAAAAGTCTGCACTGCCTTATGAGGTAGCCATTATGATTGGGAATGAAGATGTCACCACACTGTCGTATCACATTCAGTGTCTCGAGATTGCCACACGAACCCAGCCACTTGCTAAGGGGACATGGCAGGCATTAGGGCTTGCCTATCACAGACTGCATGAACAAAGTCAATCTAACAGAGACTTGGACAATGAAATTACTGCATTTCGTCATGGTTTGGAACCAGCATCTCATCCAGATCGCTCCATGTCACTCAATAATCTTGCCTATTCCCTTTATGCTCGTTTTCGACAGCAGGGTGCTTCAAACGACCTTGACAAAGCAATTTCTTTGCACCAAGAGGCACTTCTTCTTCAGCCAGCACCTCATCCAGATTGCTCCACATCACTCACTAACCTTGCCAGTGCCCTTAAAAGTCGTTTTGAACAGCAGGGTGCTTCAAATGACCTTGACAAAGCAATTTCTTTGCACCAAGAGGCACTTCTTCTTCAGCCAGCACCTCATCCAAATCACTCCATGTCACTCACTAACCTTGCCAGTGCCCTTAGAAGTCGTTTTGAACAGCAGGGTGCTTCAAATGACCTTGACAAAGCAATTTCTTTGCACCGAGAGGCACTTCTTCTTCAGCCAGCACCTCATCCAAATCACTCCATGCCACTCAATAACCTTGCCAATGCCCTTCAAAGTCGTTTTGAACAGTGGGGTGCTTCAAACGACCTTGACGAAGCAATTTCCTTGCACCGAGAGGCACTTCTTCTTCAGCCAGCACCTCATCCAAATCACTCCTCATCACTCAATAACCTTGCCAATGCCCTTCAAAGTCGTTTTGAACAGTGGGGTGCTTCAAACGACCTTGATGAAGCAATTTCCTTGCACCAAGAGGCACTTCTTCTTCGGCCAGCACCTCATCCAGATCACTCCTCATCACTCAATAACCTCGCCACTGCCCTTCAAAGTCGTTTTGAACAGCAGGGTGCTTCAAATGACCTTGATGAAGCAATTTCCTTGCACCAAGAGGCACTTCTTCTTCGGCCAGCACCTCATCCATGTCACTCCTCATCACTCAATAACCTCGCCGTTGCCCTTAAAAGTCGTTTTGAACAGCAGGGTGCTTCAAACGACCTTGATGAAGCAATTTCTTTGCACCAAGAGGCACTTCTTCTTCAGCCAGCACCTCATCCACATCACTCCATGTCACTCACTAACCTTGCCAGTGCCCTTAAAGTCGTTTTGAACAGCAGGGTGCTTCAAATGACCTTGACAAAGCAATTTCTTTGCACCGAGAGGCACTTCTTCTTCGGCCAGCACCTCATCCAAATCACTCTCATCACTCTATAACCTTGCCAATGCCCTTCAAAGTCGTTTTGAACAGCAGGGTGCTTCAAATGACCTTGATGAAGCAATTTCCTTGCACCGAGAGGCACTTCTTCTTCGGCCAGCACCTCATCCAGATCGCTCCTCATCACTCAATAACCTCGCCGTTGCCCTTCAGAGTCGTTTTGAACAGTGGGGTGCTTCAAACGACCTTGATGAAGCAATTTCCTTGAACCAAGAGGCACTTCTTCTTCGGCCAGCACCTCATCCACGTCACTCCCAGTCACTCAATAACCTCGCCATGCCCTTGAAACTCGTTTTAAACAGCAGGGCGCTTCAAATGATCTCGACGAGGCAAAGTCCTTGCACAGGGAGGCACGTCTTCTTTGACCAGCACATCATTCACTATATTCCAATCTACTCTTGAAACACCTTGCTATTGCCCTCTGGATTCGGTTTGACCTCTTACTTACATGACATACACCACTGAAGAGATTACATTGTACAAACGACTTCTTGATTGCCCAGTTCAAGATCCCTACTTT